ACATAGTTATCATGTAAATACTTAAGAGATTGTAGTCAGTGATAGAGGTGCATGCCTTTAATCCCAGTACTTGGGAGACAGAGACAGTTGGATCTCAGTGAGTTTGGATTTCAGTGAGTTCCAGGCCAGCCTGGTCTACAGAGCTAGTTCCAGGATAGCCAGAGCTGTTACACAGAGAAACCCTGTCTCCATAAAAAAAAAAAAAAAATTTGTTCAACAGTAGTTGTTTTCTTCCTTAAAAGTGTTATTTATATTAATGCAGGTTTAAGTGGATAAATTAAAGTTAATAAGTATCTGTAAATTTTGTTTTGACTTCTAGCATTGTGTTAGTAGTTTGCAGCAGGTTGTATCAATAAAAGCTCTTTAGCAGGAATATGTTGGGGTTTTTTTCCATTTTTTTAATTTAAATTAGAAATGAGATTGTTTTACATGTCAATTCCAGTTCCTTCTCCCTCCCCTCCTCCCTTGCCCCCCACTAACTCCCTACCTATCCCATCCCCTTTCTGCTCCCCAAGGAGGGTGAGGCCTTCCATGGGGGATCTTCCATGGGGGATCTTCAAAATCTGTCATCATTTGGAGCAGGGCCTAGATCCTCCCAGTGTGTCTAGGCTGAGGGAGTATCCCTCTATGTGGAGTGGGCTCCCAAAGTCCATTCGTGTGCTAGAGATAAATAAATACTGATCCACTACCAGAGGCCCTGTAGATTTCTGAGACCTTCTCACTGACACTCCCGTTCAGGGGGTCTGGATCAGTTCCATGCTGGTTTCCCAGCTATCAATCTGGGGACCAAGAGCTCCCTCTTGTTCAGGTCAGCTGTTTCGGTGGGTTTCACCAGCCTGGTCTTGGTCCCTTTGCTCATCAGGTTTTTGGTTTTTTGTTTTAAAGAGTATCTCTTGGGCTGGAGAGTGCCTGCAAGTGCAGCTTGTTCTGAGAAGTAGAAGTGGAGTTGGGCCAAGAGAGGAAGCCAGAGTGCTGAGGCAGCAATATGGAGCCCCTGCTGGGTGCCATGAAAGCCAGTGCTGAGAGAGTGGGTGCACTGGGCTAGAAGGAGTACTTTTGACAGTCTCTCTTGGTGTCTGAATTGATTTTCTCATGAGTATGAGGCAGAAGCCGTTTGTGCTCTTGCTGGCACAAGGGCCGGGCTAAGAATGTACAGAGCTGGCTGTGTCAGGACTGTGTAAATGTGTCAGATGTGTACCTCCCTGAGCTTATGAGTAGGTGTGGGTGGTGGTGGGAGGGGTGGTCAGTGTCCTCTCCTCCCAGCTTTCTAGAGTGTATCTATGATGGGTCACTGTGAAGGAGGGCTGGATGAAGATGAAGCATGCCTTGATATAGCATCTTGTTAATCTTCCTTGAAAGGGAGTAGGATGGTCCTAATTCCTAAAGCAGGGTCCAGAGGCTCATGAAGGAAAAATAAAATTACCTTTTCTGAGGCTAATAGGAGCCTGGTCAAAGCAATGTAGTCAACATAGGGTTTTAATAACACATAAAAATCATGATGTGAATTACCTTTTAGCTTTTAAATATGAATTTTAGTTTATTCTTTGAGAACTCATAAATTTATACAATGTATTTTGATCATGTTCAATCTGAGTGAGTTTATGGCCAGATAACTGTACCAGGGTACCTGGTTTCCTCCTGTGGAAAGGCCTTAAATTCACTATAAAGTGTTGGTTTCTCTAACATTCATGCCACTATTGCACTCATAATAATAATGGCCATATTCTGACCCATAGGGTTCACAACTGGCTAAAACTGTTGATGGCCACCTCTTGCAGCAGCCTACAGATAGATCACTTTCTGGTACCATTAGAGCTAGCTGTAAGGACAAAGCTTCAAGGTCAGGACTAGCTTGATTTCTCCATGTCCTGTGACCAAAGTGTGTGGTGATTCAGCAATAGGATCTTACCTGCCATGAAGTTTAGGAAGACAAGCAGTATCAATGCCTATATCCTGTACTGTTTGGGGTTATGTCTTTGGAGACATACACACTACCCCCATCAACACACTGATTAATTTTTTGTTTTGTTTTGTTTTGTTGTTTTGAGACCAGGTCTTACAATATAGCCTAGGCTGGCCTTGAATTCACTGTGTAGCCCAGGATGACCTTTAACATGCAGCAATACCCCTGCCTCAGCCTTCTGCATGTTAGGTAGGTAGCAGGGACACACCCTGGGCTAGCTTAGCTGTTTTCTTTTTCTTGTCTTCACTCATGGCCAGTTTTCAGCTTTCACGTGGTTTGTTTTAGGGATGTTTCTTTAAATAAAGACTGGGTTTTCACTGTGTAGCACACACTGGCCTATATAACTCACACTCTTCCTGCATCTACTGTCTGAGTGTTGGGAGTTCAGGTATGTGTCACCATGCCTGGCCTTATCGTGAATATTTAAGTGTTTTTTAATAGCCAATTAAATTTCCCTCATTTTTTTGGTTTTTAATAATTTTTAAATTTTAATTAAAATATAATTACATTATTTCTCTCTTCTTTTTCCTCCTACCAAACCCTTTCATGTTCTCTCCCTTCAACCCTCCCCCTCTCAAATTCATGGTTTGTTACATACATACATGCATGCATATGTATATATAAACACAATTATATAAATACAATCTGCTGAGTCTGTTTTGTGTTATTTCTATGTATATGATTTCAGGACTGACCACTCTGTTTTTGAAGGCATAATTTCCAGTGTTTACGAACACAGCCCTTTGTTAGACCTCCTCATGGTCAGATCCCGTCTCCCTCACAAGTCCCTCCCCATATCTTCATATCCCATGCCTAGCAGCCACCCATCTCTTGCTGTTCTAACTGCTCTAGGGAGACCTGCCCTCTCTCCAGAAGTGGAATCCCTCCCCATATCTTCATATCCCATGCCTAGCAGCCACCCATCTCTTGCTGTTCTCATTGCTCTAGGGAGACCTGCCCTTTCTCCAGAAGTGGCTCACAGCTCCAACTGGTAACTTATAAACTTATAAATTGCTGACTGACCTGTGCTTGCAGTTGCTTGTGCAGACGGCAGCTCTGACCCAGGATTAGGGACAGCTTTTACTACTGCCATTTTACAAGTTTTCCCACTACCATTATTTAATATATTATGTATGGGTTGGAATCCTTGAAGAAAATTGCTGGACACTTAAAATGACTAGATTGTAACTGAATTTGTAGTGTCCAATCTGAGCATGTTCCATCTATCTTGTATATTAACTACTGCCAATCACAGAGCACTCAGCCTTTCCCTTTGAAGAGAGAATGGCTAAATGAGTTACTAGAGCAGGCTGCTGTTTTCGTGGAGGATTGGCTGTGTTTTAAGTGGAATAGGTTAAACCATTATATAACATGAAGTTAGCTTTTATCATTACTTAGTCTTGATAGAGCTCATTTAATTGGGCATTCATTGATAGTGATTGTAATCTATGCAATAACAGAAAAACCCAAGCTTCACTGAAGGAAACTTAAAAACACTCATGCTTACATTTTAAATATTTATTTTTATTTTAGTTATGTGTATGTATGTGGGTATGTGTATTTGAGTGCAGTGCCCATGAAGTCCAGAGGCAATAGATTCCCTGGAGCTGGAGTTACAGGCTGTTGTGAGCCACCCTGGGCCTCTGTAAGAGTACTTGCTTTAACTTGTAGTACACTTTCCAGTCCCTCATGCTTATATCTATACTCCTATATGCATTTTTAAAAACTACTGAGGGTCCACTGTGGCTGGCATTGATAGAGATATTAATTTTAATAACAAACTTATGAAGCTGACATGATTATTGACATTTTGGGAATGAGAATTAAAGAACAGAGAGACATAGTAACTTCTGATTTTAATCTTCCCTGTTGAATTTAGAATCACTTGAGAGACACACTTGGGGATATGCTTGTGAGGAAGTTTCTAGAGAGGTGTAGCTGAAGAGGGAAGATTCACCCTCTAACTGTGGCAGCATTACCCCATGGGCAGGGGTCCCACACCGAATAAAAAGGAGAAGGCGAGCTGAGGGCCAGCACTCATCTCTTCTGCTTCCTATGGACACAGTGTGACCAGACACCTCCTGCTCCTTCCTTTACTTGCTTTTGTCTGCTACCTTGTTACAACAAAAGTCACTAATACACACTTGCTGAAGCTCAGAGGGCTGATAGGTAGCGCATCCATTGCCTGTTTCCCTGTGCTGTCTTTATCCATTGTGTTGTCACGGTCAGGGTAGCCCAGTTCTATAGTGCTGGAGATCATCTTGGTGTCCTTTTGTTCCGTACATGCCTCAATGGTGACTATTTCAGTTA